AACTTAGTTGTAATAAATTCGAGTGGAGCGGCGTTTAGAATGGTCCATACATTCAGTCCTCGTCTTGAAGAACAAGACTACATTTGATTGTGACATCTTCACCCATGAGAAAGAATGGTGCCCAGTACTTTGGATCGCTGTAGCCGGAAGAGTTCCTTATTTCATGCATCGCTTGCTGTAAACTTGCACTCGCGCTCTCTCCGTCCATTAAGCGAGTATAGAATTTAAACATGAACTCGAGTGTGCACCTGAAAATTATCAGTCTCTAATGGTGTACCTTGTCCAATAAACTTATTAGAATTATTACATTTCCAATAGAAAATAGAAATCAAAGAAAAACAAACGATTAATACATATCTATTGACTCCTAATAATAAAAAATGGAACTATAATTTTCTACGATCTACCTTCGATAAGCATCCGTATTTTAGCTTAGCAATTGTTTTTCTTTATCATTTCTTGTTAACATTCATATTCTCACGGCTTGCGTGCTAATCCAAACTTGACTTGACATACTACAAGATCAAAAGATAAAAAGGAATTCCAATACATTGTGCAGCCAATAAAATGTTAGTATTCTCAGCCTAATTTTAACATGTTTTTATATTTGTAGTCTATAACATGTCCACTCATTCGCTATCTGCTCTATCATTTAACAAACACGTTTTAAATGCTCTTGAGCGTTATATCATCACCAATGATAAAGAATGGCGCCCAGTATTTTGGTTCTATATACGTGTTTCTCATCTCGTTCATTGTCAGCTGTAGACTCGTACTGGCACTTTTCCAATTTGTCACATTGCCGTAAAACGATGTCATGAATTCGAGTGATGCATCGTCATCGATGACCCACAGAGACGCTACCACTGCATGAGCACCTGACGCTAGAAAGGCTCGACACATGCTAACTCACATGCTAACATGTTAACTTGTCCAGGGCACGGAAAAATCACCTGATCCTACGCGTTATCTTATATTTAGATTTGAGGATATGTGAGCAGCTGAAAATATATCAGTTGTCTTCTGAACTAAAAAAAGGCAGCACTTGTCATTATAATGATAAGAATGAAAAATGTTATCATTATGCAATGTTTTCAGTATTCTTTAAAAATTGATTGTGACATCTTCACCCATGAGAAAGAATGGTGCCCAGTACTTTGGTTTGCTGAAGCCGACAGAGTTCCTGATTTCATTCATCGCTTGCTGTAAACTTGCACTCGCGCTCTTTCCGTCCATTAAGCGAGTATAGAATCTAAACATGAAATCGCATGTTGCTCCATCATCGATGCCCCACAGAGACGCTAC